AGGTGGTGCAGGCTCCCACCCTGGGGGTTTTTAAGAGGAGGTTGGATGACCACCTTACTGGGGTCATTTGACCCCCAGTGCTCTTCCTGCCATGGCGGGGGGTCAGACTAGATGATCTGCTCAGGTCCCTTCCGACCCTAGAAACTATGAAACTATGAAACTATTAACTCTGTAATTAGCACGAGTTGAGCTGCTACTAAGCAATATATTGGAACCTTGGTATTCAGCTTTTTCTATGCATCTGATCATGTTAGATCCAAACTTTTTAAAATGCAGCATTTGTACATAATCTGAATTTCTTTGGCAGGTTTAAGGGAAAGAAGCCACTGTTAGAGCAATTGTATGTTTTGTTTGTTGGTTTCCTTGTCATGTATCAAGAGAAGAAAGATTTCTGGAATCTTTTCATGTACAAAGGTTTCTTGTCCAGTTTTATTATGCTCCAATATTTGCCTACACAATGAGTTCCATTCTCACCTTATTTAAACAGGTCAGGTGACACTAAGTTTCTCCACCAAGCTTGATACTTGCAAAAGTTATTAAAATATGTCTGAATCCTATCCATAAAACTGCCCAACGTAGGTGGATGGTAGATGTTGTAGAACAAGGAAGTTAGCTTTTCCTTTTTGAAGAGAATTAACTGCAAATGAATGTTTGTACTGATGGGAAGGGGGTGGAATCTGAAAAAGAAATAGCAATGATGGGGGAAGTTTTAGAAAGCTTCATGGCAACAAAGAATAAACATGCAAATCAAAGAGGAGACTACATGGGGCATTCAGAGATTTATTTTTAAAACTGGAAAAGTTAGTCCCACTAATAAATTCCCAATCGCTTGGGGAGGCAGCTTCCAACTCACAGGGCACATCTACGTGAGACATTTACTGCGCAGTTGATTAATTAGTTGCGCAGTAAATGTCTCAGCATCTATGTGTACTTGCCTACAAGGCTGCAGTAAACTAATTTACTCAGCAGCAGAATAGTATTTGTAAATCCAAGTACTATCTTGCTGTAAAGTTTAAAAAAAAAACAAAAAAAACACACCACAGCATTGCTCGTGTAGATACACACCTGAGCCAGCCAGGGCAGTAAGCTCTCCAGTATGAGGGTTGCTTGCCAGCTAGCACTGCACTGAAGGTCCCTTGTGCCCCAGCCAGCCCCTCCACAGCACAGTGAGATGGGGGAGCGGCTCCAGGCTGACCCCTTGGGGCCCCTGCCAGCTGGGGCTGGTCCAGGCCAGCTCCACATGCCATGCATGAATAAACTCTAGAGCTGATTAATCCAGAGTTGATTGCTTCCAGGCACATGTTCAAATAGTGCACCTGAGAGCAATTAACTCCAGAGCAATAAGCTCCAGTGTTTTACTTGTGCGCAATAATAGCATGTATAAATGCACTCACTGGGTCCAACTGATATCCCTTGATTCACTGTACATTGATTTATTCTATCTCTAGCTCTCTCTTTGAACTGCTGAAACAACTGATTGCCTTACCTGCAGGTTTCATGCAGCACTCCAGGGCAGTAACACTGGGCTGCAAGCAATGCAGAGGAAGACTTGTTTAAATTCCACTAGAAATCTTCATAATAATCAAAAGACTTAATGAATGAAAAGATATGTTTTACCAAACCTAAACATTTGGTCTACTTTGACTACCACATCCTTTAGAAGAGTGTTTAGTAGGGGTGTGTGAAATGGGCTGTATTCGACTTGGATTTGGCCCAAATTGGGATCAATGATTCGATTTGTTGATTCGGATCACTGTCCCGATTTTGATTCAGCCGAATCCAAATCTGAATTTCAATGCTGATTCAGAGAATCAGCGATACGGCCATAGACGCAGCTTGAAATATTTTTTTCTACATACCTCGGGGTACCAGGCACAGCTCTTGATCACTGTGATGGTGGGACAGATGGAGCATCCTACAGGAGTGTAGGGGGTCCTCCACATGCTTGGTGGCAAACCAGGAAGTGGATTGGAAGTACTTCTGGGTCCACTGGGGGGTGCACTGGGGGGCCCCCTCAGTGCTCCCCTGGCTTGATCAGCCATGGGGGGACCCTGGGTGCCCCCCCAGACCCAGGAGGCACCAATCACGGAGGGGGGGGCGGGCAGGCACAGGGGTCCCCCGTGTGCTGTGTGGCGGACCTGGAAGTGGACTGGAAGTGCGCCTGGTCTACTTCCAGGTCTGCAGCCGAGCACGCTGGGGACCCCCTCACACTCCTGTGGGATGCTCCATCCTCCCCACCATATCAGCATTCACAAGCTGCCTGGTACCTGAGGTATGTAGAAAAAACATTTAAAGCTGTGTCTATGTCCAAATTGTCAAATCTCTCTGAATCTCTCCAAATTGATTCAGAGGGTTCCAATTCAATTTGGAGAGATTAAAGGGTCTCTTGATTCCAATTCAGAGATTCAGCCACCGAATTAAGCTGATTCTCCACCGAATCAAATCGGCAACCAAACTTTTGCACAGCCCTAGTGTTCAGTATTTGGTTGAGCAAATCTGCATACGAATCATTTATGATTCAGTCCCTTCTGAGATTGTCCCTGAATTTTGTCTTAGTTTAAATTTATGATCTTTTGTTCATAGGATTATACTAACAGTACAGAGCATTCAAACTCTGATCCTTATTGCATGTAAAGCCAGCATTCCATAACAACCAGTAAAGGCGCTGACAGACATAGAGGAAAAAAATCTTGCTTTACTGGAAACAGCGCTGTATTTCTTTGACCCAACTCTGCAGCATCTGTATAGATCTGGTGCTTCAGTGGGAATTTTTTGGCGCTTTTATCTAAAACCAATTCAATCGGCTATTGGATAAAAGCACCAAAAAGTCCTATAAACGCACCTGATCTGTACAGACATTAGAAGAGCTGGGTGCAGCTAACTTGATCACTCTTCTGGGTATGTGCTAGGCTCAGCACAGGAATGCTGAGTTTAAAGTAAAGTGTTCAACAAGGATAGGCTCTACCAATGTGTATGTGGCTTTTTTTTTTTTTTTTTTAAACCTAAAACAAGTACCTTTCAGGAACTTATTTAGCATGTTTTGTTAAATGTGATATTATCAGTAGTCCTTGCTCACACGGGCATTCATTACGCTGATTAGGATCACTAGAGTAAATAAGGGATTGTGGGATTAGAGCCCCATAAACAATTTTCAACAAATAGTAATTCCCAGATAAAACACTTAACTGCAGTTAAGGTATGTAAATATACTCATATAAATAAATGTTGATGTTTGTCCCCTCTCATAAAATACCTTGTACAATGTCTGCATTCTAAAAAATTGCATTGGTAAATCAGGGGATTTTAAGATAATGTTCCTTTCCCTATTTTCCCTATATTTTGGTATTTATTTTGGGATTTATGGCTGTAGTTAACCAAAGATAAAAGCTTAAGTAGCTTGGTCAAGCAAGCCATATGGCCACTAGGTAAAAACTAGTCTACTGGTTACCTCAGTTGCAAAAGGGACAAAGTTTAATAATTCTGAATACTCCCCCACCAAAAAAAAGAGAGAGAGAGAATGAAGCACGAAGAGTGACATGTCAAATGGACCATGTTGTATCTTACTCTATTACCCAGCCTTACTTTTTGCATCTTCCTGCTGGATGAAGTCTGGATATTAGCTTCTTAGGTATGGGTATATGTCAGTCACAGATAAAATTCTCTTTTCCTTTAAAAGCACTACTGAAATGTTTACATAATTGCAGCAAAAGGTGAGTTGATCATCAGCCTGCAATGCCACGAGCACGTAGATTCTACAAGATGGCTTTTTGTGTATTTTGTTCTTAAACTGGGATCATTAAGTAACACAATCTCCTTTAGAAATATAGCCACAGTTAGGACCCCATACTGTGGACAGGGTCAGTTGTTTTGTTGTTTGTTTTTTTTTTATAAAGGGGCCAACTACTAAAATGGGCAGAAAGATTCATTTATTTTGCCTCTACAATAGTTGAGGGAGATTTGTTTGTAAAAGGCCAAAATTGTGTAGCTCTTTAAGGTCAGACCTTAACATTCGCTCCCCAAGCTTGCAACTAACTGTCATTTTACTCCCTGACCTCTTTGGTAAATACCCTTTTTATTCCAAACAGTCTCATGATAATATTGACTCTGTGTGTATGTTTGTTTGTTACAGGTCAGAAATCTGGTCAAAATCTGCTCCACCTCCTCCAGGTGAACCACCCTCTACTGAAGGTCCCCCAGCTAGACAAGTATCCTTACCAGACCTGTTTCAAGAAGAGCAATTGCCCAAGAGTAAAGTGACCACAAATGATGAAGCTCTGCAGAAGATCAGTGCTCTAGAAAATGAACTTGCCAGTTTAAGGGCACAAATAGCCAAAATTGTAACTTTGCAAGAACAGCAAAATCTGTCAGCAGGTACTGAACTTGCTTTTTTATTTGCATCCAGTGAAACTAAAGGAGTCTGCCTCCTTTTTTTTTAATTAATAAGCTGAATATATTTATGTGAGGCCTTGCAGGATTAAATGTGGTGTTCATAGAGTTGTAAGTACTGTTTTGGCTGGAATGACAGCGATATAAATATAACAGTACTTGCAACTGAGAAAAAGAGATGATAGCTAGATATTTTATAACACTTGGATCAGATAGATTCAGTTAGTTACATCTATCTATCTATCTATATAAAATTGTAGAAGCAGCAGCACTTGATTCCAAATTACAGTCTGAAGAGTAAGACAGCACAGTACAAAATATACTTGCAGGCGAGATATGCATAAGGTTCTTTTTAAAACTTACATCTCGACTCTTAGGTTTAATTTTACAGTCCTTCTTTCAGCGAGAGAGAAATTGTATGTGCCATTTACTAAGTCCTCTGAACAAGCAGTAGATACTGTTAGTGAACTGTCTTGGGTGCATGATATTTGGAGTGACCTTGAGCCTTGCTTTTGTTATCGAACTTCCCTCCTAACCAGCAAATGGTGTTTACAGTGATTTGAGTAGCAGCTGACAGACAAGTTTTCATGGTACTGTTGTTGGGTGTGGCAGCAACTCCCAGACATCTGCCTGAGGCAGTTTAGACCTAATGGATATCCAGATGAAACCGGTCACATCTGTAACACGAGATCATAACTTCAGATCAGGCTTGGTCATAGTTGCTCATCTATTGTTCAGTCCAAGTGGGAGAATTCCATGTTTGTAGTTCATGTATTTATAAATGTGGAAACTAACAGAGCAAATGCAAGATGTTTCTCCAAGGGATCAGGGAGAGCAAGATCTTTAGCATTGTTCCTAATTCATAGGGGTTTTTTTAGAATTTTTGGTGTGAATTGGGGTAAATACTGGTGTGAAATGTTTCTAGAACTTTGAATCCACCTCAGTAGGACTTTCCAAACAAAACCCACCACAGACATTAATGAAAGTAAAAGAAAAGGACGTCACTAGGATGTAAGAAGTTATAGTAGATTTTCAGTATAGTCTATCAGTAGTGTCATGAGATGCTTAATTATACTTTTGTAATAAAATATACTTGTTAAAAGGTTCATGAAATAGTTACAAGCAAAAACTGAGCAAGGTGCCACTAGAAAAGTTTGAGGTAACAAGACTTCTTTTAACTATCAGAATAAGCCCATCTTATCACACTTGGGATAGATGTATAGAATTGTAGTTTCCAACAGCTACTTCTGTGTTGCCATTTTGTTATTTAATAGTGTTGGCTTATTGGTCTGCAGATAGCAATTAGTAAGTTAAATGGCTTTGTGTGAAATATACTGGTCAGTGCAACATTAAATGAGGCCTTAAGATGCGAGAAGAGTCAAATTGTTTCTAGACCCATCATCCAGATGAAATGTGATAATTTCTGTTCACCCAGAAGCCAAAAGTTACATGACACTGAGCATGAATGTTAGTAACCTTTTTTGCCCTGGTCCCCATCCTCTATGTAACAATTTTGCTGTTTTGTAGCGCTTACCACCAATTTGTTTGGATTGCATGTTACTAATCGGGATTATAGGGGCTATCCACCTATCTCTTATGCATATAAGATGAGAAACTGAGTGTGGGAAAGCTGAGAACAGATAGGCCTATAATTCATTTGTAATTCTTTAGAAGAGCTTGGAGTTTGGTATCCAGGTCTGCAGCAGATGAGCAGCACTTTTATTCTCTGTGTCTGTGCTGTTTAAGGCAATGCAATGAAATAGTTCACGAATTTAGGTCTGTTCTTCATGAAGGCATAGTATCCTAAAATTCACATGCTTGTAAACATTTTGAATTATAATTATTGGCCAGGTAATAAATACATTACTTTAATGTTCTTTACTTTTAGAAGGCTCTTTTAGTTCTAGTCTTTGTTTTGTTTTGTTCTTACCATTATCTCCCTCTTCTGGTAGAATATAGCAACTGCCATAAGTATGCAGACAATTCCTACATTGTATTTTATCCTGGATGGTTCAATTCACTTTGATTAAATTGTCAAAAAAATTGTGGTTAATGCTCTAACTTCAGTTATCAATTCTGAAGATATGAATGTTGAACTTTCTTTATCTGAAGCAGTTTCCTAAATAGTTTTTGCTTCCTCATTTGCTAAGACTTCTGTGATTAGACCTAAGAGAAGCTGACTTTGTGTTCACTTGAAGCATTGCACAGAGCTTTAAATTGAGGTTGCTGCAACAGCCCAGTCAGTTCAGATATAATACTCTTGGTTCTTATCAAGCCTTTCAAAAAAAAAAATTGGATAACTCTTTTTTAGACATCTTCACTTAGTTTCTGTTAACTTGAATGCAAGCATCCAGATTCTGCAGTTCACATTCAAGAATCTTGCTTGAGAAACCATTTTCAAAGACACTTAGCAAAAATTGCTACTTACCTGGACGTTTTGAATATGGTTATTAAGCAGCTTTATCTGCAATCTAGCTTTGACCACCAGAGTTGCTGCAAGTAAACATTCTGTATTCTAGTAATCATTGTCTGTCTTGCAAAAATGCCCCTAACAGTTAGTTATTTCTAAGCATAGATTTTTAGCCAACATGACTGTCTGTCAAAACATCTTGTAGCATTATAAAAAAACTGATAGCACTAAGAAGAGGCCAGGGTAGGTAGAAATAATTCCTGGTGTTCAAGGAAGCTTTTTTTTTCTAAATGTGCATGTAGTACAGTGGTTCTCAGCCTTTTCTTAAACTAAGGCACCCCTACCTAACTTTTTGAATTGAGCAAAATTACTTTTAAAAAACTTCTTAACAATTATCCTTGCAGAAGAGCCAGGCAGGAAGGAACCTGAGTCTGCCCTTATCTCCTCACAACTCGAGGCACCCTTCAAAAGATCTCTTGACACCCAAGGGTACCCAAGCACGCTGCTTGAGCATCGCTGATTTAAGTGCAAACCTGCATCTGGACTGGAAACTCACTAGCTTTTTTTGAGAGCAGACATCTTCACTTGAATGCTTTAGGAGGCTTAGGACTGAAATATGACATGTTCTAGAAAGAAAAAACACACCGAAGGTGCAGCTGCACCAATGAGATCCTTGTTTCTATTGCTTGTGTTTGTATTAAGCTTAAAAAGGGCACTTTGTTCTTACCTGGAATGCATTTTTGGTATGTTATAGCTGGATTAAGTCCTATTGCCTCACCTTCTGGTCCAGTGCCGCCACCGCCGCCACCGCCTCTTCCTCCTCCCACCCTGCAGCAGAGTATATCTGCTATTGATCTCATTAAAGAGCGGAAGGGCAAGAAAATAAACTCTTCACAGACTTTGACAGATAATGGTCCAAAGAAGCCTGAAATGCCAAACATGCTAGAAATCCTCAAAGATATTAACAGTGTAAAGCTGCGTGCAGTGAAAAGGTAAGTGTGCATGGCTTACTGTGTATTGTATAAATGCAAAACAGAGTTTTACTGTCACTTCCATGGAGAAATGCCTGAAAAATGACACAGGATTACAGAGCTCTCCCTTTGTCCTACAGCTTTGCTTTGTGACTGCTCACTTTCACTTTCCTTTTCAAGGCCAACAGAAAGTACAAAGTGTAAAGCTGCTGACCCTACCGATCCTGCAGCATTAATAGCAGAAGCACTCAAAAAGAAATTTGCTTATCGATATAGAAGCGATAGCCAAAGTGAAAATGAAAAACAGATTCCAAAGTCTGAAACAGTGCTGGTGAGTATTGCAGTATGTGACCTGTAACAAGGCTTAATTCTGCTTTTCGTGAAAGCAATGCATCACAAAATATCAGATTATTGTGTAAAAGTTGACTTTCCTACCCATAGGACCATATTCTTGGCATACTCTGAACCGAAATTAAGGTATAACTTTTATCACAGGTGTTTCTCAGGCTGGGGCTTTAAGTATTCAGGTGATCTATGAAAAGCTCATTTTTAATGGAGGTTTCAGCCTCTTAGGATGCGTCTGTGTGACGCTACATCACCATACTGATGTGCTGTGGCAATCTAGCTTCTCACTACAGCGATGTAGTGTCAGTGGGCACAAGCAGTTACACCAACACTATATCAGTGTAGCGAAGAGCTACCTCGCTATAGTGTGTTGCTATGGCTGCTAAAAATAACTGTGCCCTGCTGGGATGGCACAGTAACAGCTGTCACTGTGCAGTCATTAGTACTTGCTTTCTGAAGTACTAAATGATGGCGCAGCATCAACTGTGCCATGGGGGGCACATGTAAACAAGTCCTGAATATTTTGTAAACTATCTGGAAAACTTGAGCCAGAAAGACTTGACTCAAAACCAAAGATCTTGGTGGAGGAATTCAAAACTTCTTGGGCCCTGACATGCACTCTTTCATAGTTAGGACTGGATCTATGTTTTGGGGATGCTGCACTGAGAACCTGGAAAACCTGGCCTGTGCATTAGCCACTGCAGGGAAGGAGGATGGAGAAGTGTTTTAAATGCTAGAGGGATCGCTTATTATCTGGAACTTCAGTTGACAGTGTACATCATAGAAAGTTTAGGGTTGGCAGGTACCTCAGGCGATCATCTGGTCCAGTGGTTCTCAACCTTTTTTTGGTACCAGGACCCATTTGTAGACACCAATGGCCAGTCCTGACCAAGTGCCCCTCACTCCTGACCCCCCCCCCCAGCCTCATAATGTGTGGGGCAGGGAGGGGGT